GATATTAAACATTTTTTTTCATGTACTTATTGGCTATTTGTATTTCTTTTTCTGAGAACTGTCTATACATTTCAGTTCATTTTTTAATTAGGTCTTTTACCAAGGACAGTCTAATTTTTTTGAGTTCTCTATATATTCTGGATGTTAATCCTCTGTCTGAGGTATCCAGGCCAGGATACCTGTGGGCCTTTTGTTTTGGGCTGTTTATAAAGGGCATCAAGAGCCCTACCCCTTACCTGCAATTTGTCATAATCTGATTGGTTTCCCAGGCTGTCAAAGACAGATTCCAGGCTCCAAGATCCCCGACCCTCTGCACCATCATCTATGTGCACATTTATAAGTGAGCTTGTCAGAATCTTATCTTTAGAATTTATGGGTTGGGCTGGGAATTTAGCTCAGCAGCACAGCACCTGCCTGGCAAGCGCAAGGTTGTGAGTTCGATTCCTGGTACCAGAAAAAAAAAAAAACAAAAAAACAAAAAAGAATGGGTTTATTAAAAAGGACCTCATATATAAGGTTGATTTAGCAATTAAGTAAGAGGCTGGTGTACTAATTAGTGGCTAGAGTGGAAATACATATGCATGTGTGTGTTTTTATACACTAAATATGAGCTTTCTTTTAAGTGGCTGCCTCTTGTCTCTTGCATTTTATTCCAGATGGGTGAGGGGAGGCTATCTTGATTTTGAGCACCTGGCTTCCCTTGTGCTCTGCCTGTCTGTCCTCTTGTCCTGTTAATTGCTTTCTCCAGTGAACCTTTAACTCTCTTTGGTCAGGATTAGCCTGAAAGCCCAATGATGCCTTTCCTATTTATCGACCTCTTTCCCCTACAAAACTTTTCAATTTCTTGTAATTAAATTGACTGTTGGTTCTTTGTGTTATCTCTTGTGCAACTGGGGTTCTGTTTAGAAAGTCCTTGCCTATGCCCAAATCTCCAAGAGTTCTACCTATTTCATCTTTCAGCAGATTGTTTCTTTTTTAATATCTAAGTCTTTGATTCATTTTTGTTTGATTTTAGTTCATAATGAGAGATACAGGTCTAGATTCAATCTTCTACATATGGGTAATCAGTTTTCCCTGAACTGTTTGTTGAAGAGGTTGGTTATCTTTCTTCCAGTATATGTTTTCGGTCCCTTTGTTAAAGAAAAAATAGCTGAATTGCCTAGGGTTGTTTCTGCATCCTCTGTTCTGTCCCATTGATCCACTTGTCATTTTTTGTGCCAGTACCATGCAATTTTTATCACTATAGCTTTATAATATAGCTTGAAATCTGAGATTGTGATGCCTCTTGCTTTGCTTTTTTCTCAGGATTGCTTTTGCTATTCTGGGTCTCTTCTGGCTCTATATGAATTTTAGAATTGTTTTTTCTAGTTCTTTGAAGGATGCTGTTGGTATATTGATTGGGATTTCATTAAATCTATAAATCAGTTTTAGCAATATGGCCATTTTGACAATATTAATTCTGCCTATCCAGGAACAGGGGATGCCTTTCTGCTTTCTGATGTTCCCTTTGATCTCCTTTCTCAAAGTAGAACAAGTTTTGTTGTAGAGGTCTTTCACTTCCTTGGTTAAGTTAATATGTAGGTATTTAATTTTCTTGAATTTATTGTGAATAGTATTGTTTTCTTGATTTTTTTCTTAGTGTATTCATTGTTGGTGTGCAAAACTGCTTTTGTTTTGTTTTGGTTTTTTGTCTTTTTTGGGACAGGGTCTCGCTATGCAGTTCAGGCTGGTCTTGGATTCACTTTGTAGCCCAGGCTGGCCTTGAACTCGCAACGATCCTCCTGCCTCAGCCTCCCAAGTGCTGGGATTACAGGTATGTGCCACCATGCCTGGTGCTTTTGATTTTTATGTGTTGATTTTGTGTCATATATTACTGACTTTATTAGTGCTAAAAGTCTTTCAGAGGAATTTTTTGGTCTTCTATATAGGATCGTGTTATCTATGAATAAGGAGAGTTTGATCTCATCCTTTCCACTAATACCCCTTTTTTTCCTTTCTCTAGCCTGATTCCTCTGGCTAAAGTTTCTAGTATTCTGTTGAACAAGAATGGACAGCCTTGTCTTGTTCCTAATTATAGAAGGAAAGTTTTCATTTCTTCACCATTTAGTATGATGTTAGCACTAGGTTTGTCATAAATGGCTTTTATTAGGTTGAGATAAGGTCCTTCTATGCCTATTTTCTTCAGAATTTGTATCATAAATGGATGTTTGGATTTGATCAAAAGCATATCTACATCTAATGAGATGATTATATGTTTTTTTTCCTTGTTTCTGTTTATGTGATGTGTTATATTTAATGATTTGCATATATTGAACCATCCTTGAATCCTTGGGCAACTTAGTCATAATGTGTATGATGTTTTTGATGATTTGTTGTATTGTGTTTACCATTATCTTGTTGACAACTTTTGAATCTATGTTCATTTAAAGGATTGGCCTATAGTTTTGCTTTCTGGTAAGTCCAGATCTATTTTTAGTATCAGTGTATTGCTAACTTCCAGAAATGCCTTTAGGAGTATTCTTTCACTTTTGATTTTGTTAGAATTTAAGGAGTATTGATGTTAGATCTTCCCTAAAGTTCTTATAGAATTCAGTGGTAAGAACATTGGGCTCTGGACTTTTTTTAGTTGTGAAGTTTTTTATTATTGCCTTAACTATATTGCCTATTAATAACTTCTTGGTTCAGTTTTGATAATTCACATACATCTAGAAATCTGTTCACTTCTTCCAGATTCCAGTTTATTGGAGTACAGGTTTATAAAATAGTTACTTAAAATCCTCTGGATTTTGGAGTGTTTCCATTTTATTTTGCCTTTTTCCTAATTGTATTGATAGGGGTTTTTTCTTTCCTTCTTTCGGTAAGATTGGCTAATGATATGTCTAATTATTTGTCTATTTTGTTTATACTTTTGAACAATCAGCTCTTCCAGTCATTGATATTCTTTTTTAATTTCAATGTCATTAATTTCCATTCTATCTTTATATTTTTTCCTTGTACTAGTTTTAGGTATTTATTTTTTTCTACGGCCTTGAGCTATATCATTAGGTCATTCATTTGGGATCACTCTGTTTTTCTGATACAAGCATTCACATTTATAAACTTCCTTCTTAGAACTGTTATCATTGTGTTCCATAGTTTCAGGAATGTTTTAATGGATATTATTGTTTGAGTCTAGGAAGTGTTTGTTTTTTTCTTTGATTTCCTCTGTGATCCTTGGTTATTGCTTAATCTCCATGTGTTTACATAATTTCTGTGGTTTATCTTGCTGTTGATTTGTAATTTCATTGTGCTATGATCTGACAGTATGCCTGGGATTATTTTGATTCTTTTGTACTTATTTAAGCAAGCTTTATAGCCTCATCTATGATCTATTTTGGAGAAAGTTCCATGTGCTGCTAAGAATGTGTTTTCTGTGGTTGTTAGGAAGAACACTCTATAGATATCTATTAAGTCCATTTGTTCTAAGGTATGGTTCAAGTCTGATAGTTTTTGTTGATTTTTTTGTCTAATTGATCTATTTGTGAAAGTGGAGTGCTGAGGTCCTCCACTATGACTGTGTTAATGTTTACCTGGCCTCTTTTGTCCAGCACTGTTTGTTTTATGAAGTAGGGTACACCAGTGTTCAGTACATATGTATTCACCATTGTTATCTCTTCCTGTTAATTTGTTCCCTTTACCAGTATGTAGTGACCTTCTTTGTCTCTTCTGATCACTTTTGTCCATACTTTGTCTAAAAGTATGATAGCTATTCCTGCTTGTTTTTGAGCTCTGGTTGCATGGAATATTCTTTTCATCATTTGATTTTTTTAATCTGTGCACTTTTTTAACTGGTAAGTGTGTTTCTTGTATGCAGCATACCATTGGATTGTTTTTAATCCATTCTGATGACATGACTTTCATTTTAAGGTTCCCTCATTCTGCGGTGGGAGGCTGTTCCAGAAAACCTGTCAGGAAATTATTGTGACTTGGACTGAGATGGTAACAGTAGAGGTGAAGGGAAGGAGTCAGATTCTGAGTACATTTTGGAAAGAGTCAAAAAGATTTCCTCACGTTGTATGCAGAGGAGATAGGGGTTCGATTAACATTCCAAAGCTTTCCTCCTGAAGATCTGAAAGAAAGGAGTCATCACTGTCTTGAGTTGGAAGACTGTGTGCACAGAAAGCACAGGGGAAAGTAGGTTTGTGTGGAGAATACAAATCAGAGGTTTAAACGTAATACAAATCACTTTGTAATGTGAGATCACTCAAGATTTCAGAGTAGTTTGTCTGCCTCCCACATTTGCCTTCCCAATGCCGTGAATTTACTCAAACTCTTACTAAACTCTTGCTGTTGAGTTAAACATTGTGAATGATTTCAGATCAGTAACCGCCTCAATTTTTCTAAACCTATATTTTGCCTAATATATAATGGGAGGTTCCTTCCAGCAGTAGTAATTTCAGAAAACTGTAGTTACTCAGGCTCTGGTTCGCATTCATATGCAATTCCTAGTGGCATGGAAACTAATAAAATGCAGTATTTTTGTTTAAAATAAAATATCCGGGTTTCAAGATTTCAATTACTAATGCACTGAACAAGTTATCTAAAGGTTAAATAATCTTGAGCCAGGTACGGTGGTGCACACCTGTAATCCCAGCACTTGGGAGGCTGAGGAGGGGGATCACCATGAGGTCAATGCCAACCTGGGATAGATAGTGAATCAAGACCAGTTTGAACTATATAGAAAGACTCTGTCTCAAAAAGAAAAAAAATGACCTTTATATACACCTTGTGAACACCTGTTAGAATATGTATCTGGTCCAATAATGTAATGACATATTTATACTGTATGTGAAACTAAAAAAATGTTTGCTATGGCTGTTTAAACCTCACAGTTTCATCAAAAATGGAAAAGTAAAAGAATATTAGTTCTTGGTAGCAAATTAGATTCTTAGGAGAGAAATATTCTAACCCTAAATAAGGCTACTGTCATCTTAATGGGTCTTTTTTCTGTTGTTCTGAAGAGAGTGGAGCTAGCCTCAGAATTTGCAGTTTCCAACACATTTTTTGCCAGAAATTCAGATTTACCTGGAAGGCTTTGGGGCCAAATGATAGATTTGGAAACATCCAAGCAGATAGAGGATCATGATGAAGTCTACACAGAAGGTGAGAGAATGCATTATTAGCTGTGATGTTAAAAGTTCTTAAAGTATTACATAGTATAGAATGGAAGCTTGTCTTACTCTTGTTCTTAATTTTTGTTTCTGCTGTTCTGAAGGTAATTTACTCTGAAGTTAACTCCATTATTACGTGTAAGCATATATTTCAAGCGCATTTTTGTGGGAGTCGGTGGTCTCTCAGTGGTCCCCGGGAGAAAACAGCGAGAGGATTTAGAGAATAAAGACAAGAGACAATAGCCAGGGTCAGGTGGAGTTACCTCTTGCCTGATGAGCAGGAGGGCTGACTTCAACAGTAGGGGCTTTTATTTTTTACAATTGCAAAGTAGTATCATGAGAGATAATGTTGCTTAGCGACTAAGGACTGTAATTGTCCAAGCAGGATACCTTTTTCAATACTGAGGTAGCTTGACTGCCTGAGGCACTGTGGCTCTGTCCACCCTCACACGTATGACCAACAACCAACTCCAGCAGCTCCCAACACATTTTGTTTCCTAAACACAGTGAGAAGCATCTATCCACCTCGCTCCTAGATACACATGCCCCCTTGCTCCTCTCCAGCCACACTGGCTTCATTGCTATTTCTCCAGCACTCTGGACACACCTACTTCAGGGCCTTTGCACGTGCTTTCCCTCTGCATGGAATAATATCCTTTATATATCCATTTGGCTCACTCCCTCCCACCCTTCCTCTGCTCATGTATCTTCTCAGTGAGGCATTCTTTGACTACCCAGTTTAAAACTACAACACCCTCCTTTCGTTTCTGTACTCCACCTCTCCTTTCCCTGCTTTGTTTTTCTCATTTTTTTTTCTCTCTGTCTCAGAATGTAAGCTTCAGTTTTATTTTTTCCATTTTGTTCCTTGCTATACTCCCCACATCTAGAATAGTACTTGACACATGATAGGTGCTCAAGTAATATTCATTGAAAAAAATGAGGACAGTGAACAAATAAATTGAAATAATTAAAAGATGTTTTTGTTTTATTGGCAGCTCAGGAATTAGTTGATGACTGGTTAGGCACCAAACTTAAGCAAGAATTAGCAAGTGATGGAGAAGAAGATGCTGAAAACTCTGTGTCAAGTGTTGGTCCTAGGCCTGAAGCCAGTAGCCACTGGAAATATGACAAGTTTGATGGTAAGACCTTACCTGAGTGTTCAAGCTTTATCATCTAGCAAATGAGCCTAAGGTTTTAAAAATTGTTTTGGATAATAAATGATATATTATTTGACTTTTGTGTATTTTATTTAGTTTTATTATGAGCTTTAGTTTTTCTTCGTTTGATATAATTCCTTACACTATATCCTTGACAAAGTTACTATGTTTTAAACATCAGAATAATTCTGTTATTTGTAATTTTGCTTATGATGATAATAACAGTTAAAAGTACCTCTTGCCCATGAATCATTGGGTGATTATTTACTTTGATGTAGACTACATTGAAACATTAATTTATCATTTTATATTTTTTAAATGATTCATATCTTTATTATCACTTATATGGAAGGTTATTACTTTTCTAATACTTTTCTCCTACTTTTCTACAAAGCTAGGGTCAGACAGGTTAAGTAGCTAACTTGTGAAGGCTCCATAAATGCACTCAAGGGTCTGAGGTTTTTTCTCTGAGCATCGCTGTAGCCTGGTGATAGTAGAGGCAGCTCCCATGCATGACTTAAACACCCTTAATGAAGACACCTAGCAGCATTCCCCTCATTCAAGACTACAGAATCTGTCCCCAGCTAAGCATTCACATAATCATGAGCTCTGAAAGTTAGAAGAAACCTTTAAGATTACATAGTCTAATACATTTTCCTCCCAGATAGACATTCATCTATAGTGTCCTTAAAATGTGGTAATGGGTGTTCTGCCTAACACCACCTAGGACAGGGACCCTGCCTCAGACAAGAGCCTGCTTAGCTATTGTGAAGTTCTAAGCCCCATAGAATTCTCCCTCAAAAGAATTAGGATTTTGACATCAGTAACTTTTTACCCTTTGGTGCAACAGAAAATATGACCAACCCCTCTCTCTCTCGCAAGATTAGTCTTTTTACTTTGGGGGAATTTTAATCATATCTAACCAATCATATTCTTTAATATTCCCAGACTAAATAGTACCAGTACTATCAACAGTTCTTTATGTCATGGTATTTCTAGACCTTACCATCTTGGTTGCTGCCTTCTGGACATTTTTAATTTACTAGTTCTGTTATTAAAATAGAATGTTTTAATACTTCATGTTTGTTCTGAAGCAAACCTGTGGGATATAGTGACATTGTTACTGCCTTTGATAGAATGCTAATAAGTAGATCTACCCATATCCCTTTATTTGGATTTCTGGTTATCATCTAGTATCCTATCAAGCCTCAGTCATCTTATCCTGGTAGAAAAATGTTTTAAATGGTCAAAATATTGAACAAAATACTTTGTTAAAAATAATATTTACAAAAAATACTAACATGTTATTGTATAAGTACACATAGAAAAAAGCACTTAACAAAATCTAACATGTACTTCTGAAAAAAAACTTCTCAAGAATTCCTTGAAAAAAACCACTTACATAAAAAACATATGTTATATATAAAACAAATGTCAAAATGAATGTAAACCTACTTTATCACAAATACATTAAATGTAAGTGGATTTAAGCACTCCAGTTCAAAGGCAGAGATTGGCAGAAAGGATTAAAATACATGGGGCCAGGGATATAGCTCAGTGGCATAGCACTTGCCTGGCAATTGTAAGGTGGTAAGTTTGATTCCTGGTACACCCCCCCATATATATACATGTATATATGATATAACTATATGTTATCTGAAAGAGACACTTTAGACTTAAGATACAGATAAGTTGAAAGTTAAAAGATGGATGTTAGATGTATTGGTACATGCTTGTAATCTCAGCACAAGCTAAACTAGAAAGATTATGGCAAGTTTGAGGCACTTTCCAAAGGAAAGAGAGAGAGAGAGAGAGAGAGAAAGGGAAAGGGACAGGGAAAAGGGACAGGGAAAGGGAAAGGGAAAGGGAAAGGAAGAGAGAATGGATAAAAGGTATACTATGAAAATAGTAACCAAAAGAGAACTGAAGTAGCTCTGCTAATACCAGAAAAAAGTAGACCTTCATGCAAAAAATTGTCAGTAGAGACAAAAAAAGTAAATTTTATAATAGTAAAGAGGCCAATCTGTCGAGAAAGCAGCAATTAAAAATGTATGTAATAGGAAACAATTATTTAAGAAATAACAAAAATTAGAATAATTGCTTTTGACCAATAGAGTATTAAATGAAGGTTTATTATTAGTTTGAATATGATACTTCCCATTAGAAATGTATAGATTGCATTTGCTTGAATTTGGTTTTTGAAATGTGACATTAATATATTATCAGTATATATTAACATCCATAAATTGATGAAGCAAACACTGACAAAAATTGAGGGAAGAAATACACAATTCAGTGTCAATAAATGGGGACTTCAATACCTCACTGTCAATAATACATAAAATAAAAAAAAGTCGACAAGGAAGATGTTCAGTAGCATTAGTCATTAAAGAAAGGTAAATTACGTGTAGTGTGAGTTGCCACTACAGTGTCTGTTTAAACAGCTTGAAGTTAAAAGACTGGTCATGCCAAGTATTGATAAGGAAGTGGAGGAACTGGAACACTACATTGCTGATGACAAAATGTGAAATTGTGTAACCACTTTGGACAACAGTTTAATGGTTTCTTTAAAAATTAAGCATATATGTATCATATAATCCACCCATTGCACTTCTAGGTATTTTCCCAGCAGAAAATCTATGTTCATACAGACGTTATGATAATCTTATTTTTACTATCCCAAATCTGAAAACAACCCAAATGTCCATCAACATGTGAAAAATAACTAAATTATGGTATATTCATACAGTGGAATACTGTGCTACTCAAAAACCAATAAACTACCAATTCTCACAAATGCATAAATCTCAAAATGATTGTGCTGAGTGAAAGAAGCCATATCAAAAAGAGTACATGAGTGTAGTTTAATCTATATAAAGTTCTAGACAGTGCAGACTAATCTAGAGCGACAGAAAGCTGTTCTGTACTTTCTGAAGTACAGAAGGTCTGAGGAGGAGTCAGGAAGAGAACACACATCAAAATGAGGACACTTTTTGGGTTGATACATCTGTTCATTATCTTGATTGTGGGGATGGCTTTGCTAGCATTTGCATGTGTCAAAATTTATTATAGGCTTTAACATTTGTAATTTATTTTACATCAGGTGTACAGTAAAGCCTTACTAGTAGAGTTCTAAAGTTTGTTTAGGCTGAAGTTACGTCTTTTAGATTTGGCTATGAAGAAGTTGCTAGGAACGTGGGTGAGAGCATTTCTTGATGAGTAGAGCTTTTTCCTCTTAGCTGAAAGTAATTGCTGAGGGCTGTATCCCTCCAACTGGCCTTATCACTTACTATTTACCAAATACAACTTTGTTTTCAGTGTTGTTTATGAAAACACAAATATTATGCTAAGATTAATTTTTTAATCCCCCCACCTTTTTTATGGTTTCTTCCAGATTTATGTGGCTATTTGGAGGAAGAAGAGGAAAGTACCACTGTTCAAAAATTTGTAGACCATCTGCTCCATAAAAAAGTGGTGGATTCTGGGATGTTGGAAGATCTTGGAATGAAGGAAAACCAAGACAAGAAGCAGCAGAAGGATCCTCGTCTTACCATGGAGATGAGACATAAGCAGGTGGGAGGGAAAAACAAAATTAAAATGGATAACAGGAAGCAGTCTTTGTGTAACACATTTAATAAGCTTAAATAAAGATTTAGGCTTTATTATGAAAAAGGGTGCCATCTGTGATTTGGTTAGAAAGAACAAAAATAAAATATAAGAGCTTCAGATGAAAAATAATTCTCATAAACTGAGGATAGGAAACAATTTATTGAAGAAATAACCAAAATTAGAATAACTGATTTTGACCAATAGAGTGTTAAATGGAGATTTATTAGTTTGAGTGTGATACTTCCTATTAGAAATATGTAGGTTGCTTTGCTTGAGTTTGCTTGAGTTTGAAATGTGACATTAATATATTATCATGAATATTCTGGTGAATATTATAAGGATAATTCTTTTTAGACAACTGAAATCCAGTCATTTTGTGATTATAATTTGAAAAGGAAGACAGATCTGAATTAAATCTAGTTCATCTGTTTTGAATTAGAGACATGTAGGAACTTTTCTTTCTCTAAAGGGAATAATAGTAGGTAATAGGGGAAAAGAGTGTCTCAACACTCTGAAGGAGCTTCAGGAAGTGACCCAGTCTTTGGCACCTATCCATGACTAACACAGAACTGGAATTAGGATCTGTGTATGTGTGCTGTCTTCTTATAATTCTGAATTTCTGGCTGCCAAATTTGAAAACTTTACCCTTGAAGGTATGGCTGATCAGTGCTGGGGATGTGGGAGAAAGGGGGCAGAAATATGATGCGGTTTGGTTGTGTGACAAGGGAGCAGAGGAGGTGGTAATTGTCTAGGTCGCTTCTCACCACTAGAGGGTAAAGTTAAGTGAAACAGGAGTGAAAAGGCCATTTCCTTCATTCATAGCTAGTCCAGCCTTTAAAGGATTAATAGGTTTTGGGGGAAAAATGAATATGCTTATTTAGAAATATCGGCGAACTTCATGTTTTTGATTTTCAAGTATAGTCCAGAATCACTAACATATTTAAATAATACTAGAAATGAATAAAGAGTGGTGGTGTTCCTGAAGGCAACAAATCACCGTTACATTCTTTACAGCATAGTCTCCCCCCAAAATTTCTATTTTTTCTTAAGTTATAATTAGAATGCAGACAGCCTAAGTTAAAAAAAAAAACAAAAAAACAGTTCTTGGACACCTTGGACAATCTTATGGGTGAGAAATCATTTCTAAATAAGAATCTAAAACTTGGGATCTGGCCCACTAGACTCAACTTTTCCATGATTCAGATCCTCCCCAGATTGTTTCATCTGCCTTGGTGTAAAACTTCTTACTGGCTTCACCAGGAAGCAGATAATTTCCCCCTATCCTACCAACACACAGTGGAGCTCTAGGCAATGATATTTTAAAGTGGTTGTATTCTGAGCTTCCAGATGTGTTCTGAGGTTTTGCTTACCCTTTCTGCTTGAAAGATTACATCTCACCCTATATTCCAAGGTTAAAGAAAACCGCTTAAGACGTGAGAAAGAGCTAGAGTGCCGAAGAATGGAAAAGATCTTGAAAAAATCGGCTTTCTTGGAGGCTCAGTATCTGGTGCAAGAAGAGAAGAAAAGGAAGGCTCTGGAGGCCAAGAAAGAGAAGGAGGAGATTCAGAGGGAGATGATAAAGCTGCGGAGGGAAATACTTGAGAGGAGGCGCACCGTGGCAGAAGCGTGGGAAACGTAAGCCAACACGCAAAGCAGTGTGGAGTTTGAGCAGTCATTTTGGAAGTGCTCTAAAGTTTGTAAAATGTAGACATTGCAGTAACAAAACACAAACGAGAAATCATCTGCGATTCTACCAATTTAACAAATTAATTTTATTTTTCCATGTTTGTTCCTGGTATTAACTCCTTTACATACTTCATTACAACCATAAAATACATTGAAGTTGTTATTCTGCTATAATTAACACACTGCCTGGAGCCCTGAGACTTGCTACTTCATTGAATTCCTATAGCGTAATTTACAAAATGACCTCCTATGCATTTGAGAATCATTTTGGCTACTTTAGATTTTTCAGCAGTATTTCTGTGTGTATCCTTAAGCCTATAGCTTTTTTATTTTTTGAATTACATTCTTAGGATAAGTTCTTAGATTTGCGATTACTGAGTTAAATAGTATAGCTCTTTTAATGAATTGAAACATTGCCAAATTGCTTTAAAAATAGGCCGTACTGTACTTATTTACTGCATTGCTGGCAGTGGGCCAATTTCCCACACTCCGCTCATTATTGGAGATTATATCGCTTTCAATATTTTTACACTTTTAATAGGCATTATATTGATTATTTGGCATTTCTTTTGTTGGATAGTATCTTTAAGGTTGAACATGTTTTCTTATGCCTTCCTGCTACAGTTCAGTAATTGTGCCTTGTCTTACTGTGAATTGCTCATGCTTTATTTTCTGATAATCATAGAGCAAGTTATTATTGCCTTTTTGCCACTGACAAAGGAAAAATATCTGACATAAAAGGAAAATGAAAATAGTGCTTACAGGATGTAGTACTATTATCCATCCTTATGCAGAAAATGAGCTTCGTAAGTGAAATAACTAATGTATTTATTCTGAGAAATGATGGCACCGATGCATGAACTGTAAAAGTCTTGGAACAACGCAACTAAAGTGTCTGAATATACTCTTCCTGAGAAGCGAGAAAGACCTGTTAGATAATCCTTCCACCCCCATCAGCCTGCACAGCCTTTCTCCCCTGTGTTCTTGATTGCTCTCATTCTACCCAATTTAAAACGGCTCAGCAGTGGACATGTGCTTCACTCCTTCAAGTGCCAGTCTCAGGCCTCCTCCAGATGCTGTTCCTCTCAGAAAGCAATCACCAGTGTTTCACTGAGTTCTTCTAGGGTCAACCTTGCTTTTCAAATTGCTCCCAAGCCCTAGAAAAACTAGGCTGACCTAAAATAAATTGTGAAAACAAGTAGCAGTTGATGGTAGCAGTATGCTGTGTTCACAGCGGGCACTCAGCTCAGTTCACTGACCAGTCATTTCTTATAAAGTTGGGATCTTGCCCATGGTTACAGTGTGAAAGGTAATGGGCTCTGCTTCTAGGTGGATGAGCTGATTTAAACTTCCCCATTAGCAATTTGGCAATAAATAACAAACAAGAGCCCAGAAACGGTATTATCCCTTGGCCTAAGAATTCTGGTCTTAAGAAAACAGCCCTAAGAAAATGATCAGAAGTCCAAACAAAAGTTTATGTACAAAGATAATTAAAGTAAAAGACATTATAATAGACAGTGCTATAAAATTAGTAATTTAAAAGCCAATAAATTTTTGTTGTTGATAGGGCTTTATAACTTCTAAGCTGGCTGAATCTCCCGTATTGCATACTTTGAAAGTGTTTCCCTCAAGATGCTTATTAATTACAAAGGGAAAAATACCAGAGAACTTACCTTAACAAGGTGAAAAGGGCTAGCATTACCAGTAATAAGATAACATTGAGTGCCCTCTGTACCCTATATGAGAATGAATGCGACCGTGTCTGTAATCAGGCATCCATCTCGGTTTGAATTTTCTCTACTGTAAAACGAAGTTCCAGGACTTCGCTGGAACTAGGTGACTAGGTGACTAGGTGACTTCGCTGTTTTCACAGCTGGTTTGTGGCCAGAGAATGAATCTTGATTCCTGACTAGGTGCTGTCATTACCACATCATTAACAGTACAGTGAGTCCCTGACTTACCAATAATTCCATTCTGGAAGAACATTCAAAAGTGAGATTCATCGGAAAGTCCGACACAGGCTTGTACGCGTTGTATACAATGTAAAGCATTAAAAATACAAATGTACACACGCATAAAAATGCAGGAAGTCCCCAACCATACTGTACTGCTGTACACTATCACACAGGACAGCAAGCACACAACAGCACAGTTGGTTCAGTGTCCGGCAGACACCTGAGCTACTGCCATGGTTTGTTCACACCTGCAAATGTTGGTAATGCGAGCTTGGTTGGTATCTGTGAAAGTTCACAACTCAGATGCTTGTAAGTCGGAGGCTTACTGTATATACTTCACACACATACCTATTTGGTTAGCCGTACTGCAGTGAGAAGGTGGCAGCTGTGAGCCTAGGGCCGTGGTGAGGAAGACAGTTTAGCAAGAAAGAGGATGGGTAGGAACAGGAGCAACAGAATGATTGAGAGATTCTGGTTACTTGCTTAAAGTCTTTTCTTGGTCATTAAGTTCTTATTTTTCCTCTTTTGACTACTTTAGAGTTACTCTAGATTCCACTCTTTCCTTGATAACACTTGATTCTTTTGTTTTTCTTTGTAGAAACCTTGTGATAAGAATCTCACTCCTTTCTCACTTGAGCATCCTTTTTACTTCCTTAAGAAGAGAGAAAACTTAAATCTACTTTAGAGAATATGTAATAGTATTAATTCTCAAATTTTAATCAAAGTATAGCTCAGTGTTAAATTTTAAAAATACTTTACTGAAATATCTATAGTACTTTCTATTTGTCAAAGTACTTTTTAACAATTTTATTTTGTATAACCTATAGCTATAAAAGAATAAACTATGACTCCTCCCCCTCAAAAAACACATAGTTTTAGAGCCAGATCTAAATATCTGTGTCTTTTAAAGGAAAATTCAGTGTACATTTCACTACAATAGATTGTAATTACTCATTATTAAATCTATTACATATTTATTTTGAAATTGTTATTAATAGAGAGAAGAAAAAGCAAGAAGAAAACCTGCAAAAGAATCCAGATAAAGGCATGCTTCCAAGTGCTCATATTCTTCTGGATGAAGAAAAAGTGGCAAAAGAAAGAAAAACTAAACTGAGAGAGTTACTAATCCAAACTTTCAAGGAAGATCACCAGGTAGGTATTACAGTGTCTCTTTATTCAGCAGTCTGTAGTGTAAATAGAAAGAAGCTCATCAGAGGTGAGATGAACACTAAGCTCATGAGTGTCTCATCCTAAATAACAAAATTGCCCTACCTTTTGTTATGTGGTGCCCGGCTAACCTGGGACACAGGCCGGTACACCAGTCCCTGTTCTGGGGCTCTTCTTTCTATACTGCTTGTACTACGGAGAATCCTGAGTGAATCCTGGGGAATGAAAGGATAAATGTAGGGCTTCTTCCTCAGTTACCTCCTTCAGAATAGCATTGAACTACTTAGGTATCCTTCTGGCAATTTTTGAAAGCTTGGCTTCTACTTTGACCAAACTTCTACTTTGGTCCATTGTATCTGGGTTGTTCAGACGGTTTGAGAACAAATTACTTGCCTTTCGGTAGCTTCTGAGCAATGATACACCTATATCTGTGCTTCTCGTTCTATTGGTCTACATGTTTTTAATTTTACCTTTTCTTCTTTTCACTTTTGATTACTGTAAAAATACCTGATCAATTTTATATTGATGAAGGAAGGGCAACTGGTAACAATCTGAATTGGGGGCTAACATTTCATGCAAAATGAATTACTTGAAAGATTTGTACATGAGATGGTTGGATGAGAGAGGAAAAATGCAGCACGTATATTTTCCGTCCCCTAGAACAACCACACTAGGGCCTTAGGCCTTGCTGAAATTCAGTGAGAGTTAATAGAATAAACATGTGAATGAATGGATTTAATAAGAGGAAAGAGAGTATTAGGATGGTATTGAGGGAGCTTGGTAAATGTGGGGATAGACTTCTAAGGGCCCTGGAAGTCAATAATAGGAATTTGAATATGATATGGATACCTAAGATATGCAGAAAAATTAAGGTAGTGAAAGTGGTTTAAAAAAAGAAACATTTGAAGGTAGCATCTGGAACTAATGGGCAGAAGTCATAATTATTCAAATAGAAACAAAAAATTGGTCGAAGTGTCATTTTCAGGATTAGAAAGGGAAATGTGGTAGGAGGACGTGTGGAGTTGAGACTGGTACTTGAGAATGACTGGGAAAGCTAGGTCTGTATCATTCAGGAGAGAGAATTAGTGTGTCCTACTATAATTATAGTAAGATTTCTGAGAAAAAATAGGGAGAGAAATACATGTCCAGAGGCTGTCTTGAGAAGGCGTCCAGCAAAAGTGCCAGGATATATTACCCAACTAGTGAGAAATGAATAACACATGGGCTCCATAAAATTTTAATTTTCAAATTGTACTGAAGTTTACTGTGAATAAGAAATCAGATATGTTTTAGGTGATACTTAGATAGGAATGTTACGCATAGAGCTTTACAAAATTAATGCCCCATCTAAAAATAGATTACTCGGCTTTAAAAGGACACATCAATGTACTTAAAAGGGAAAATGACAGATTGTGAATCTGTTATCTCCACTTTGCCATAGATTCTGCTTTTTACCTACATCTTACTATTTTTTTTTTTTTTTGGTTTTTCTCTGGTACCGGGAACTGAACTCACGACCTTGCGCTTGCCAGGCAGGCGCTTTTGCCGCTGAGCTAAATCCCCAGCCCCCATCTTACTATTTTTTTAAGCTTTTATTTTGAGATAATCTTTGGCATGCAGAAAAGTTGCAGAAATAATACAGAGAGTTCTTCAATACCTTCCATCCAGTTTTTCCTAATGTTAAAACCTTACATGAACATAGCATAATTATCAAAATCAGGAAATCATCATGGGTACCATACCATTAAATACGACTAATTAAATCCATAGACCCTGTTAGAAAAGCGCCAGCTTTTCTCCTGATGTCTCTTTTTAGTTTCAGGATTCAATCCATGAGTCCATGCTGCATTTAATTATTATATCTTCTTGATCTCCCCTGTATGTGACAGTTCTTCCATTTTTCCTTATCTCTTAAGACCAAGAAACCTGGCCAGTATTTTGTAGAATGTCTCTCAGTTTGGGTTTTTGAGTGTTAACTCCTATACACATTTTAGGTAAGAACTCTATACATCTCCACCCCTTTTTATTTTTTATTTTTCAACAGGCTCTTGCTATGTTGCCCAGGCTAACCTGGAACTTACCATCCTCCTGCCTTAGCCTCCCAAGTAGCTTGAATTACAGATGTATACCACCATGCCTGACTTCAAATTCTTCTAGAGGGAAGAATTATCCCTTCTTCTCCATTTGTTCATTTGTTTATTTATGCAATTCCTTATTTGGTATGATCTCATCGATATTTATTCAAAGGGAACTCTTTCAGGCTGGCTTTTCTGCCCTTTTAACAGGGTACTGTCCTTTTTTGAGCTCTTCCTGTGTTTATGGCACTACCAAAAGCCCATTTTTATTTTCCCTGCCCCGATCCTGGAATCACCCATTTCTACAGTTCCATTTATTGGAGAATGGTCTTTAGAAACCAAATCAGTTGCTTCTCAGTGTTGAAGTGTCATTGTTTCTAGGCCCTCGTAGCAGTGAGAGTTGTGCATATACACATTGCATTTGCTTCTACGTTTGAGTATTTGTATACTCACTAAAACCCACCAGCTCCTACTGATACATCTCCTTTCAGTACAACACAGGACTTTCTGCTGTACTATCTAAATCTATGCTAACTAATTGTGTATTCATAGTGATATTTTCAATGCTAATCCAGCACCACAGGTTTCAGGGCAGCTTTTCTCTCGTGCTCATTTGCAATTTCTCTCTCTGACAATGAGAAACCTGGCTGTCCTTATCCACATTCTATTTATATATTAGTTCCATCCTTCTGTATTAGAAAAGTAGTTTCAAAGTGGCTAACGTCACGGCAGCAAATGTACTAACTTGAACACAGTACTTGTACCGTTATTTTTTTCTTAGCCTTAGTGTTCAGGCAAAATATTATTTTTCAAAGTTATTTGGGTTTATTCCTTTCTTCCCTTTCCCCTTCAGCGTGGCTATATGGTCCTTTTGTGATGTGGGTAGGAACCTTCCCCTAGTGTGCATGAGTATCAGTGAGACGTGGTAAAAATCCTTATACCAGACTTTTCACCCTTTTACCCAGACTTGCCTGTGGACAGGGCAGTGCCCTGGTAAACCCTACAGCAGTAGGCAGCTCTCCTAGTCCACGTTCCCAGCCTACTTCAAAAGGAGCTGTGCTGGGTAATGAAACCTGGATACTCATAACCAGTACACAGACATAGGATGAAAAGGCGGACTGTCGTGGTTTGTGTCTGGATGTCCCCCCAAAGCCCCGTGCAGTCATGAGGGGTGGGCTTTTTGGAGGCAGCTGGATCTAGAGTTTGTGACTGGGATTGTCTAGTGCTGGGATTGAGGGGTGTAAGTGCTATACCCGCCCTAGGGTGGTTAGCCTGCCTACCAGATAAGGGACAGAAAGAGGCTTGCTCCCCACTTCTTCCCCTTCTACATTCCCCTTTTGTGCTCTTGTTGCTTTGGTATCTTCCACCGCCATACTGCCATAAATGGTTGCCCTTCAGTCACGCCACCCTGCCTTGGAGCCAGCTGATGATGGACTGAAGCCTCTACAGGCTGTGAGCTTAGCTCAGTTTATTTATAAATCTTACCTTCCTTAATTTTGGGCATCAAGTATTTTGTCCCAGCAATGAGATAGGTAACTAACACAAAGACATTGTCAAGGTGGGCGGCCGGATGACTGGATGCTCTCAGGAGCCTCAGTTTCTATCACTCTTCAGGCCCTGGATTCTGTCATTCTATCTTCAGGCCCTGGATGTGATGCCCAGCACAGAACAAAACAAAACAAACAAACAAAAAACAACAACACAACAAAAAGACCAAGTTCAGGTACAACTCTCTGTATGCATCTTTCGTTTCATTGCTATGTCTCTTTGTTGCATCAGAGACTTACTTTTGTATAGAAACTTTCTACTTTGTCTATTTTATTTTCTCTTTGATCTTGTAGTGAAATCTCTTGGGGAGATTCAGCAATCCATGTGTCACTGCTAATTAGCAGAAACAACGAGGGATTAACTATGAAATTCTTACACTATTTGGAAAGTGGCTTAATTCTCACTCTATTCTGTAATATGTTTTTGTTTTCTTAATAAGATTAGAAACCCTGTGATCTTTCCTGATTGTGAAAGTTGAAAAGAATAATGAAAGATGGGGTGATATTAACCTAAATCTTAGTTCTCAGGGGGTGGTAAGATTTTGATTTGCTTATTTGGTTAGGTTTTTCTTTTTCTTTCTTTTTTATTTTTTTTATTTTAAAGAGAATAAAAAGTAATTTAAAAAATTAGAAAAGAAAGAAAAAAGGGAAAAAGGGAAAAATATATATACACAGGATAGCTAAGATAATTGTACCGCTGATTTTTATTGGTTTATTGAAAGGAATAGTTAATGCTTAAATTTTTTTTTGACCAATTTTGCATGCTTATATCTGGTCATCTGAACAACTAATTTGAAGACAACAATATGCAATATAACAACCACTGCTGAATTCCTTTCATCTTCTTTTGTGAAATTGGTTAGGTTTTTCTGTTAGAGAGTAAGATAGTAATGATCCAAAGGAGTGATTGTTAATGTTTTGCTTGCAGTGTTTCCGCTTCCAAAAGTCCACCCCAAACTAAACCAAGGAAACCAAGAGACATATGGAAAAGAAGTGTATACTTTTTTCTGCAAGCTGATAAAAAAAAACTATATTTAAGTATCTCATTTATATAACATGATGCCTTTCCAAAGATCATAGTCTTATCAGAACTGCCTGTACATCACTGAAGCAAAATCATTTTTGAACTGACACAGAGCAACCATGCTTTCTTCAGTGTCTCATGTTTGCAAATAAGATGTCAGTGGAAAAGACCCAGCACACATATGGAGAATATGGGGATTCGTGAAACTCTCCACTATAGGATTACTGCCAAGGGCCTTGTGTGGTACACATTGTAGGAGGCATTTGAAACATTGTTCTGTATTATTTTATATAGGCTATGCTACAGAAATTTTCCAACTAAAATTCTATTAGTTTTGGC